TGTGTATCGTTGGATATTGGATATTTCTACAAAAGGAACAAGTTCATTTTTTGCGGTTTCGCTTAATGTCGATAAATTACTTGTTTTTCAACTTACACAATTAATACTTATACATTATTTTTGTGAATAAATTAATAGCTTTGACAGATTTTGACTATCTTTGTTTGTTTTTTGGTTATAACATATGGCAAAATTATATTTAGTTACATTTAGTAAACTTCCTCACTGACTAAACTGACATTACTTTGACTAGTAGCTTTGAATATCATACAAAATAGTATGCAGTGACACCTGCCAAAACAGTTAATTAATATTTTTCAGTTCCAAAGTTAAATACTGTCATCAGTTCGACAACTTTAATTAAAAATAACCTTATTGCTTTTTACTAATATAAATTTTATTGTTATTTGTTGTACTCTGTACCCTGTGCATTATTTGATTTTATTTCGAAAACTATTTTCTTTTTCAGTTCCTGCACTGAATTTATAAGATCTGAGAGATTACAATTGCGTGTTTCAAATAAAATTCACTCGACCAAAATTATTTTTATTTTTTTATCCTGTCCAAGCTCATTATCTCTCTATGTAGGCTACTGACCTCAGCCTTTTCCAGAAAGTATTTCTTCAGGTTTTTGCACCTCTTTGTAGTGTATGGAGTAGACACATGGGATTCCTCTCCCCCCCGAACTTCCTCTCCCCTCACCCGCTCTGTCATGAAGTTCGGCATTTGTTCTGAGTTCTCGAGTAAATCGGAGTAGCATTTAACTAGTTGGTTATGGCACGCCTCAAATTTCTTGTACCAGAAATTGTGAATATGGTCTGGACCCGATGCCTTCCAATTAGGGGTTCTCTTTAGTGATTGCTGGAGTTCCTCGGTGCTTATCTTCCAGTCCAGCATTGTTCTTATCTGCGATGTTCTTTTTCTTTCTTCAAAAAACCACTTAGATGGCTTGTGGTTAGCCAGTTCTCCCCATACCCGCCCCCAGAACGCCCGCAAGTCATCTGTCTTTGGCAAGTCCTCGACTACATGGCTAGTGGTTTCCTGCCTTTCCAGGTCTCTATAGAAATGGGCTTGGTTTGTTGCAAATTGGTGGTTTTGTCTCTTCCGCATGTTACTTTTTCTAAATCGTTTGAGTCTTTTTGCGAAGGAATTAAGCTTTGGCTTGTCGAGCACTTCTATAATTGTGGGGTTTTCTTCCGATTTGTACAGGTCTATTATTTTGGCTGCCGCTTCGTTGACTCTCTTGCTGGGATTCTCCCTCCGGGATTGAGTTAAGAGACCTATTTCTTTTCTGAGTTTGTTGACTTTTATCTGCAGCCTCTTTTCCCACGGTTGTTCATACGTTTTTCTGCCAGCTCTTTTTGTGCGTTGTCGTTTATAGGCTGTCCATTCAGGGTGAGCACATTGGCCGCCCCAGTATATACAAGGCTGTGCAGCTCCCTGATATTGGTGTTGCTTGTTAGTCTAGACCCTATAACCGTATTCACATCCCTGATGATTTTTATGGTGTCTGGTTTTAAAGTTAACTTTTTTAATTGTGGTTTCGCTGATGGGTTGAGTCCGTCAAGTTTGAGGTAGTTTGCCGCAAATTTTTCCTCAGCCTCTTTATGTTGCTGCTCGTCGTTCACATCCGGCTCTACAGCTAGGTCTCCTTGCCCGGCTTGTGTTTCAATCCCTAATTCAATTGCAACTTCATATTTGATTCTGTTGATTATATCGTTTGATTATATTGATATATTCGTAAAGATTGATCTCATTTGTCTAGCATATTTTGTAGTGACTTATTGCGGAGCTGAGGGTATCTGTTCCGTAGGGCTCTTTTGAAGTTTCCACTTTTGTAATGCTATAGTAGTATCGAACCATATGCATGTTCATTTCTGTTGTCCATGAGGTTCTTTGCTTTACTCTCAGAAATGGGGGAGTGGGCCGGCGCCAATTCGCGTCAGCAACATCTTTCTCAGCAGTGGCCATGCGTGGTTGTTGATTGGGGCTTTCTTGTGGTTCAGCTGTAGTAGTTTCGGATAACCCGGTACGTGCCCGCTTGGTCAGCACTCTACCACCGGCGGCCCGCATTCTGTCACGTCCAGCACCGGCTGCAGACGTTTCCTGGCGATCCGCAGGCAGCGCCCTTTTTCCGAGGCTTTTTCCACTTCTAGTCTCCATTTTCATGGGTATTTCCCTTTTCTCGCTTAGTGATTGGTGGTGGACAAATAAAGATAAAGCGATCCCCGGATAAGGAGGTAGGTAGTGCAGGTGAAGTTGGGGGAAATTAGAGTAGAGCTGTGAAATGAGGGACCCCTAGCCCTAGGCCAACCTAATAGCGTCGGAGTCGAAAAAAGAGCAAGAGTTGGCCAAGAGAGGTCCGATAGCGCACTGCATAGAAGTAGTGGTCCTCACCCAAAGCTAGATTATGCAAAGTGAGAAACCAGCTAGGGTGCCCAGGGAGCGCCAGTCCCGTACTCACAAGTTGTGAGCCCCTGTTATTGTGTTATCACTGCTACCATTATAATCATTATTATTATTATTATAGTTATTATTGTTAGTATTATTTTTATTAATTGAAGAAAGAACCCCGCAGCTGACACCAAACTAAGATAATCTAATATATAATATAATAAAACATATATTAGATGCTTGGGAGATAGGGATTGGAACAGGAAATATTGAATATTTGTCTGGCGCATTTAATACAGATCTGTTAAGCTTATTAAATTATAAGAGATTTATTCTCAAGTACGGTCGTATAATCATGACTATGTACTCGGTATGCAATAACTCGTCGATGAAGGGTGTGAAATATGGATTCTTGTTGTTGCTGGAAAATGGAAATGGAAAAACTCATCTGGCTGAACCAAACAAACTAAGACACTCGTTTCTGGATTTAATCGAAAATATGACAATAGTTTAAGAAACAAGAGCTAAAACAATAAAAATTAAGAACCAAAACATAAAATATAATAATAGATATATAGAGATTAATCTTTAAATGGTATTGTGTACGATTTTCAACTTGCAATTGTTTAATATCTATAAATAAAAATTTGTTTAGGTATAATAACAATAATAATTATTATTGTTCACTTGTCTAACATTATCGTGAAATAACATTAAGAACTAACAAAATATTATTAGTATACTTTTAATTTAGAAAGAAGTATACTTTGTCCTATCCAAATTTCTATTACCTGTTAAGCAATCAACCTATTTTTGCTAATCTTTATTGATAATGTACCACTGTTATTTGTTGTTATTTAATTGGCATGGTGACAAACAACAAGAAGATTTTCGAAAATTTTCATAAAAACATAGAGTTAAATCTCTATACGGATAAAATTATACTTATGCAACATGCAAAACAGCAATTGACAACATGATCACTTGATGAACTGAATAAATCTCTCGACAGGGTGCTAAATTTGGATGTTTCTAAAATAGATCTTCGCAACTGCTGAATTTAATGGGTAATTCAACTAACCAAGATTGATTTGGCCTAAACTTTTAAATGAGATTATAGATTACACGCAGTTTTTAGCATAAAAATAATTACAATCGAGTTGAATAGATTGCCCTAGAGAAACATATTAATACGGTTTACTAAACTAAATATAAAAGTTGCGACTGTTGCTTTATGGAAATATACTTGTATCGAATCTACTACTTGACCTTAATGCGACAATTACATAAATGGCGTTTGAGTGATTCGCTAATATTGGAGCAGTAAAATAAAATTTATTGAGTATTGTTTGTAATTAATTTTCTGATTGTACAACAAAGTGTTGTATTTTTACAAACAAATTGACAACAATTTTTACATCCACAACCGATTGACTAAATCCGACCAAACTAAGACACTTTATCGAAAATGGCAAAGGAATTCGTAGATCATCGACTATTTAAAAAAATTTCAATAAAACATAAATGAAATAATGATCAATATAATAATAATAAATAAAATAAATAATATGATATATATAATTAAATATTATGTATTCCATGTTCGAGATATTGATTAATCGTTAAACGTTATTAGATGTGCTTTTAAAATTGCAATATTTGTTAACGTATTGATTCTCATGTGTCCTTGTTGACTTGTTTAATATCAACGCAAAATGATAGTAATAGCCAATAAAGTGTTACTATTTTTTTTATTTGTAAAGAAGTATACTTAGCCCTAATCACATTTTCATTACTTGCCCTTTATTGACAACAATATTGTTTGTAATATTCAGGAATCAACCTATTTTTGATAATCTTTACTTGTTCGTATTTAACTGGCGTACTGAATACTGATTAAACTGTTGTCATTTCGTTTAAGAAACTATCTACCCTCTATTTACTTTTGATTAGTCTATTTCGGACAAAATTCGACTTAATTTGGTCATGGTTAGTGGTTTGCAGATGTTTATTTCAGAAAAAAAAACTTCATTTTGAATTAATAATTTTGTGCCAAATTTTGGTAAATATTACGTTTTTTTTAGTTCACGATGATCAGCGCGCGTTAAAAGTGCAAGAGTCGAAAAGCACCCCACACCTGCCATCAAAATAAGGCACAGGGGTGCTGCAGAAGTTGCCTGCTCGCCGACCGTTTTAAAAAGTTCCTTAATAAAGTCGCAAACAGGAGTTATACGCATTTCGAGGTGGCGGAGTTACCCTTTAAAATTCGCCAGTTACGATACAAAGAAGAGGCAATTCTTCAACGCTTACACGCGACAAAAGATCTTTATTCCGTCGTAATTATTTGGAATCGCCGCAGGCGCGATAACGATCGAAAATACATTGCGGCCCTGTATACGGCCGGAAACACCAATGGGGTTCGGGGGACCCGGAGGCGGCCGGTGGGTGAACTGTAAAGAGGCCAACGTCGCCGGTCGCATGTACGGAAACCCTTATTGGTTGGGAACACTTTCCTTTCGGCCAATGCGAAGCCTACAGTCACCCGGAGTCAATAATCTGGCGAACGCAACAAGTCCGTTTCAGTTCACTATTGTGGTCGCACTGATTTCGAGGTTTTTGTTTATCATTCTGAATCTGGGCGGAAGTCGACGCAGATTTTGGCGGTTTATGTTCCGCGATCCGAACTCTTAAAGATAACGCAAATTAAAAATATAATTAAAGTCTAGACTGGAAATATTGGCGTACGTGCCGGCGGTTAGTGACCTATTTTTATGTTAATCAGCGGCATTTTAATTAGAATCCCGGTCCCCTTGTGGAGAAACTTTATGATTGTTAGTGAAATCGCGACGAAGCGTTATGGTAAGGAACTTCTTGTTTGTTTAGTTTTTTTTAACGACTCGCTTATTAAGGTTACGTTTGGTTCAGAAATGGAAAATGATCTTTTTAAAAACGTTCCCAGAAAAATTCGGTTGCGTCTTTCCAAATGGGCATGTATTATCTGTTGTACGAATGCTCTTCAAACTACGGTAAAATGTAGATTAGTTTCGAGTGACAATAATTCATTCATTCATTCGTGTAAATAATGTTGACTTTACCTATTTATCGTAAATAGATTTTTTAAGTGTACAGAACAATTACAAATTCAATATAATTTCTTATTTTTAAAAGCACCATCCAAAAGAGTGAAGTGCAGAAGGATACATTAGTGAAGCAACAGTTGAATTGGCTTCAAATAGATCAAGATGTATTTTTTTTACTTGTCGTGACTAGAAAATTGATAATGGACGATATCGTATATCCCACTATTTTGAAAAAATGTTCTAATTTTAGATTTTTTTAAATATACAGCGCGTATCCAAAAAGCGCCCTATATATTTTTGAAAAAAAAACATCTTTGAACCTGTATTTATAATATAAATATAAGTATTATTAAAATAAAATTAATTTAGTCATAAGTAAGGGGTAACATTTTCTGTTTTATATAAAACATGCATTTTTTTCAATATTCCAGAATTTATTTCATTTGTTGCCAAAGGTTGCAGGGTCTCTGCCTGGCCTTTTTCGACACGGCACTTGTTAAATAGTTTATTACATTAAGTTCGAGCTGACTCATTTACTTTACTGCCGTCTTATATGAATAGATCTTTTTTGCCCAACAGTGTTCCCACAGAAAAATTCATACTCATTTCGGAAGCTGCACCCTACATGGTTAGGGCAGCACAAAATTTAAAAATATTTTATTCTATCCTATTTCACGTTACTTGTTTGGCTCATGATGTAAATCAGATGGTAGCATGAAGACACCATAAATAAAAAACCGGTGTCTTATATATTTATATTTATTTTATGCCGAGAACTTTAAATTATTTAAAAAAGTTATTTAAGATCTAAACGACTCATATTCTGCCGGTCTAATAAATGCAAAAAGTATTTTTTTTAACCCAACAATGAAAGAAAATTTAATATTTATAAAAAAAATGTATTATTTTGTACCTATAGCATCCACGAAATTGGAGGCTACCGCTGTTTCTTTGACAGATTCTGTTGGGGATGCGGCTATAAAAAAAATATGTCAACACTTGAAAATAACACAGACTTCGAAAGGGAACTGGATTTGTATAAATTAGAAACACTTAATTCCACAACTAAAATAAATACTATAACTTCTGTAGATGTTAAACGAACTTTATAAATAATGGACAATTTAAAAAAAATAGAAAAACATTTAGTTATCGTTTTTATAACTGCAAAGAATGATCTGTAAATTTATTTATCTTATCAATAGTATTGCTGCAGTATTAATTGTATGACCTTTTCTTATAATCGCAAATAATATTTTGTCACTGTTACATTTTTATGTTTTACAATTTGGTATGTAAGTATCAATGTGTGTATCTATGAATAAAAAACCTTTATCATAACTTTTTTTGTTTCATTTATATATTGGTATAGGTAAAAATCATAGAATTTCTGAAGAACGGATTTAATTATAAAGAAATAGTTCTGGCTTTATTTAAAATTGCATTAATCTTCATAATTTTTCATATAATAAAGATTTGCAAGTGTTCCTTCATTTCTATGCATATATTGTGAAAATTGTATGCATTTAAATGGGCATATATTGGGGTTTTTCGCTAGTATCTTTTCCTCTCTTTAGCCATCAGTATAGTAAGATCCAAATTTTTTCTATTTCTACATTTAGTAGAGCATTAAATTGATCGAGTAAATTAAAAATATAACAAAAAAATAATTTTCCAGTTTTCACATTTCTGCTCACTATATAGCTACAATTTTGGGAAAACTTAGTTCGATAGGTATAAGGAAATCTTAACAAAAGGGGTAGAGGGGTAATGAACATGACGATGACTTAGAGCGTATTGTATTAAAAAATATATAAAAAAAATAGTGTAAAATATTCAAAATAAACAACTCTATATGTAATTAACAATTCGTAAAGATGCATTTTATTATCATAATGTCCAATAAAGGCAACAGGTTGAAAGATACATGATTTCATGGGAAAGTTTCCAACATTAAAGAAAATATATTTTTGTATGGTCACGCTTTTATAAAACAAAATATTTTTTAAATGCTTGTTGCAATAACGCAAAGTAATGATGACTAATGAGATATTTTGCCATATTATTGCGCCACCCTGGAATTCAGTGCGTTTTATTATTGCACATTTTAGTTCCCGTAAAATTAATGGATGTTAATTTTGTGTGGAGCTTAAAACTAACATTAGGTATTGTACTTTATTGTCGTGGTCTTGCATTTAATATTATTCTATTGTTTCATTAAAGGTAATTTTTTTATTATTCCTTGAAATATGTTTGAAAAACAATATTAGAAACGCATGCTGATTTAAACTTTTATTTTTATTTTATTTTGCACCTAATAAAATATTTAGTTTTCATGAAGAAGAAGAAGTTTATTATTCCTTATTGCCTTTTTTTTGTAAATGTACTTCATATTCAACTGTGTCAATCCTTATATATCCGTCCGTGATACCCTAGACTTATCCCTGTATAGGGTGGCTCAGGGTGGATCTTAAGCTTTTTCTTAGTGATCTTTGATATTTTAAATATATTTTTTCACTTTCCCATGGTTTGCTGACTATTTTTGTGTAATTATTTTCCTATTTCATATTTACTACATTACTTGTTATTTTTAACTTGGAATGACGGGGGTGGGGTGGAAAATGGGATTATAATGACGCTACTGAAACGCCATATTTATTTAAATTATTTACTATTGCTTCCTCTATTTGATATAAAACATTTTTTTTAAACTCGCGTGCTATTTATAAATTTATTTCCTTTTAAATTAATTAAGTAATGTAACTACCCGATATCTCGGGAAAGTTGCAGGCATTTTTTTCGACATGCCTTGCCTTAATTAGCTCAAATTTGTCATAAAATGCATGAAAATTTTGTAAGGAGATATTAATATAACTTTATAAAACTAAATGTTTTTCCACGACAAAACGAATAAGTATTAAAAAATAAAAACCAAACATTGTCCCTATAACATTTTTTTTTAATTTAATTTAGTAATTAACTAGGTTTAAACTTTATCATAATATTTGTAAAATCGAATATCACTAGAAGAACACAAGAAAAACGCAAATTTCGTCTATATCCTCCTAATTTATTCTGACATAAAAGTAACGAAGATAGAATAAACACTGTAATCTAAATTCAGTTCCTCAGATTTAAGAATTATGGAACAATACGATTTAACTTAACATTTTACTGCTTACCAACGCATTTGTTTCCCCAGCATCTTGTGTGTATTGTGACGAACTACTTGAACAGGCTAGGCCAGGCTCTGTCTGCTACCAAAAAAACTCGTGAACAAGCGCCTGATTACAGAGCACATCGTCTCGTAATCAGTTCCATACTCATTCTATACGCCCTAGAAGCAGTCAGTCATTAGAGAGAGAGAGAGAGAGAACCGTAGCAGTAATTGTTTTTAAAACGTAACAGCATCCTACGATTTTCAAATTGTTGTAAGCTACAATCGAAGATTTCTTTTTGGTTAGTTCCTCAATGCCTTGAGCGCATGCCCAATTCGGTGTGCCTGAATTGCAAGCCAGTTACTTTTGTAATAGTAGATTGAGGATTCCTATGAAATTTCGTAGCGACCTAAATGTCGCAGTTTCGTGTACCACCTTTGCAGTCATTATGTTCCTCTTACAATATCGACCAATATTTAATTTCACTTTCTACTTGACCGCCCTGTATCTTCTATATTAACTTTTTTAATAAACTACATTTTCTACACTGTACTAACTGAATTGAATTATTTTGGCCCAAGATAAACAGATACGGCCCATTCTTTACCAAAATTACAGATTTTTCTCCGCTTCATTCTGTAAAAGATGTGTGTTACTGGTAATGGATACATATGGATAATATCACAAAAAGGGAAGCCCCATCCCGCGAGCTGTTACCTGATGGAGCTTAATTTAGAATAGATATGCTTATCATACAGTACACTTGTCATTGGCGTAACTTTTAGAAATTTTTGAATTAAACTAACCAAGACTATGCTTTAATGAAAACTTTTTAATTAATTATTTGCTATTGTATATGTAATTTTTTTATGAATTACGAGTCTCTGTTGAACTATTTTTGCGAAATGGCAACTATTGCATTTTTAAATCCAAGAGTCCCATAACCGTTACTTCTAAAAGCAAATTATCGTAATTTTAAAGCTATGGAACTTAGAGGTTCCAGAGTGGAAGCAACACTTTTATTGTAATGTAATTAAAGGGTACGCATTTAACTTACCCGGTTAAAAAGAAGTGGAGCAATCTTATTTGGTAACCTACAACTGTTCTATATATCCATATTCTAATGCAATTTTTTGCAAAAAATACTCATGCCTTTCTTGTTCCCCGTTAATTAAAGTAGTCAATAAAGTATAAATTTGTTAAACAGTCGCTATTTGAAGACAGTAATACTACAATTACAAGTGTGACAATCAACAGGCTCCTAACGTTCATTGAGCTTTTCTTTCAAAGCTTGAAAACAGACAACCCATCCGACTATCTGACCTCTCACTCCATTAAGCTTCTGATTGTTGATGTTGTGTGATAATATAAAAATATAAATATCTAATATAAAACTTTTTTATGCAAATAAGTTTCGGCAGGTCGTTGCTAATTTAAATTATTTAATTAAAGACAAAATCTCTATTTCCGATGATAATTTTATTGCCCATATATTAGCTTCGTGTTCCGACAAATGCAATTTCCCGTCTCATAAAGCTGCAAAACAATAAACCGCATTTAAGTGCCGCTTACGACCGTTATAATAGAATTTAAAACTAAATTCTTTAAATTAAATCTACTCGAATCGTAAAGTTCAGTTGAATATGAAATGTTTCGCCATCAAAAATATTTTTGTCGGTTAACACATTGTCGTGGGCTTACTTTAAGTCGATAATAAATAAATTTCTTGGTGAATAAATTGGCAGGGCGTGGTATTAACCGAAACTCTCGTGCAGTTGCAGGCAATAAAACATCGTCCTTGAAAGTATGATTTCATATTCCTGGAACATAGCTTGAATTTAATTTCCCATGGTGTATAAAATTCGGCGAAATAAACCACTTATGCATGCATTTAGATTCACGAGACGTATGTTAAGTTTCTGCAACAGTTTTCGTTGAATGATATTTTCTCCCGTAAAACTGTCTCGTCAATTAGCTATTTGCTGATAATCCCTTACTGTTTAGCTTATACAAAAAAGTGAAAATTTTTTTTTGTACCCTGAAAGGCAGGGTAGTTTTCCGAGCATGCCCATAAATTTCACACTTTAACCTGCCGTCCGTGCTTCTTTTTTCCAAATCGCGATCCTCGCACACTTAACTCGTTGTTATCCAGAAAATTTAAAGGGATCCATCAGCTGTCATGTTGATTGTGGAACGTCCCAAAATCTTATTATTTGGTTTGAAATTTCAGGTCTTGTTTAAAAATGAGATTTGAAATGACCGCGCCTTCGCATTTTTTTTCGTGTATATCTAGGAGTTATATGGGTTTCAAAAAAAAATCTTGTCCACCCGGTATATAGATATGTGACAGATTTTTCATCGCAGAACTTCAATACTTTAAAATTTTCGTAAATATTCTTTGGCGTCCAAAGTATTTTTTATATGAATTCTTCTAGATGCACTATTAACAAGACATTTTAACAGTTTTTCCTAAAGTTTTAGTTCGGATTTTAATGCAGTTTAAACTCAAATTCCGAAACATTCAGGAAATATCCGAAATTGTCCTATTGGTTTTTGTTAGTTTTTTTTATAGTAAATATTTCATTAAAAATGAGCTTTATCTTAGAATCACGAGTTGATTTTAAGTGTGTGTGTCTTATTTTTTTAGTACCTTTTTTGTAAATAAAAAAAATACAATTTAAATTATTTAATTAAAAACATAATCAGTATTTCCGACTACAGCTTTATGGACCATATGTGCTGATAAAAACAATTTCTTTTTTCTTGGCTATTGTGCAGCTAATTTTATAAACGAACATTTTAGTCATTATTAGTTATTTTCTTTCTTCTCCTATGGTTTAACTTATTGTTATTATCAATAATTTTATTAAAGTCGAGGGATTAACAAAAATTTCTGAGACAGACGATTTGTAATTTCTGCACTGGAAACATTTCTCATTTAAAACGAGTGACATGATAAGAATCGAAACAAAAAATTAATGAACTACCAAAATTTGTATTTACTATATTTAATAACCCAGTACGAGGATCAGATTTCAAATCACTTGAAAACATCCAAGTAGAAAAACAGTTAGTGCGATGATGGGTAAAATATCACTTAATTCGCTGGATTCTGCTTATAAATAAAAATCAAATTCTAATAATATTCATACAAATATAACCCCAAAACAAATCTTATTTTATGAAAATTTCGCCAAAAATATTTAACTTTACAAAATCGAATCGAATCGACAATAACCTATATTACTTACTGAACAAATACTAGAAATTAATATTTCCTCATTATCGGAAAAAGTAAATTAAAAGAATATAGAAGTTTATCAGATGCAAAACTTATAATATCGATAGTAGATTGGTTAATTAGAGAATAAAATTAAAATTCATGTTTACTTTATGCCAGATAATAACGAGTGTTAAATATAAAAAATGCATTATTTTAATGACGAGCCAGAGCAAATTTAAGATAAGAACAATGTTAGTTTATTTTAGATTAATGTAATTAAGTTAATTTTATATTGCAATAAAACAATAATTATTATTATTAGTATAATATCCAGTCAATATTTAAGCCGATTTTTTGAAGAAACAAAATTTCTTTCGAATCAGTAGCTATAGACATATAAAATCGTTCTCAACTGACTTAATTAACACCGTTAAATTTTTGCAAGTCGGTGGCACCATCTCGCGCTGGTAGCCGCATGCAACAATACGAAGACTCCACGGGTCAAGAAGAAGCCGGTAGTCATCCGTCAGATGGCACTGCGAAAAACGGCGACGGGGATCGTGAGGATGAAGCGACGCCGACGCCTGACGTTCCGACGCCCGCAACGCCGCGTGCCGAAAAATCCGGGAACAATCTCAGTTCGGGGTTGAACGCCGGGAATAACGGCGTACACCGCGGCAACCATAACAAAGTGGGTAAGTAGAAAACGCGAAAGTGCGGACGAGATTTTTTTGAAATTCCTGGAGGTTTTGTTATGTACGTTGTCGCTGAACGTATATTTGTTGATCCTGTATTAGATATCTTTATTTGTTGTTTAAATGTTACCGTTAATTTAAATTATTTAAGGAAATTAAAGTAATAAATATTTTCATCAAAAAAAAATTTTGTAATTTAGAAAACGTGTTTTTATAGTTTATTCGATATATTTTTAACTTGTTCAAACATTTTAATAAGGTTTAGTTGTATTTACAAAAATATTAGAAATATTCTTACGGGAATATAGCATTCATAACATAAAATTTGTCATATTAAAATTGAAGATCCTCTATGCCTTTCTCAGATTTGATTAAACCGTTGGACTCCGACAATTCTTATAAATAGAAACATCCAAAATTTAGAACAAAAGTTAGAAAAACATGGTTGAAAAATGAATGTTAAAATAACCTTTGGTACCAGATCCAGGGATGTGTTTTATTTGCCGTTTATAAGTGCAAACTATGGCTTGCGTGGCCCACTTGTGCGTATGAATCAAAAATTTTTACGAATTGATCTTGAAGTTAATGGTAATTTAAAATGCAGTTTCAAGTTTGTGCAACATTCACTTTTATATGTTGTTTTATCTCTAGTATATATAGTATATAAGAACTTTGGTAAAATGGTGTAATTGTTGAAAATAAATAAATAAGTAATCATCAATTCCACAAAGTCACAAAGTAAACTTGTTTCGCTTTATTTAAATTACTAATGAATTCAGCAGCACTCCGTCGTATCTGGTATTTTATTTATTAACCAATGAAATACAGTTCAGTAGGAACAACGTGTACAGATAGATAAGGTGATATAGATGCATTAATTTTTTAGTTGTTAAAAGCATTTTGTATCTAGTTGAAATTGTTACTCCCGTTTAACTCACTCATCATTTAAAATAGAAGTAGACGTAAATTTGATATTTCGTTATTATTTTCTGTGCGGATTTACTGCTTATTATTAGTTTTTTTATATCTCTGATTGACATAAAACTAAAACTCTTAAAAAAACAATTTTAGAAATATTGCGTCTTAAGCATATTGTAACATGTTTCTTTCTCAAGGAGTCCAAAACTACCAGCTCAACTAAAATGAGCACACATATGAAAAGAGAAATTCTCAGATATCTCATACAGTTCCCATCACATCAATTGCCAAGAGACGTTTAATTTTATACTGATTTGTGGTTTTTCAACACTAATAACTGCGAGATATTATATATGTTCTGTATAGATACAGGGTGATTCATACACCGCTCCAATTTAAGGGTCCGTTTTGATATGTAATTAGCGTAAAGAAAGCTTTCTTAATTCTTATAAAAATTTTAAAAGATGCATTGAAAAAAAAGCTTTGATAGCGTGTATTAATGATTCACCCGATACATGTAAGTCTATAAATACTAATGAATTCTTGTGAATTTCGGGACATCAAATTGAATAGTAAAAATCATTTAGTAAAATACGACCTAAAAAAGTATTCATAAAAAAATGCAATTTTGGAAAATTTTGTAAATAAAGGCATAACCATCATAATATTCGTCATCCTCGAATTTGAGAGTATGTTCTTTATAGACGACGACAGCGACGAAGAAGAAGAACACGACGTGCCAAACGGAGGCGGCGGAGTTGGCGGGGGAAGTTTTTGGAGGCAAACTGGGGCAGCTTCGAGACCGGTCACACCGCCCTCTATGGCCGATAATGCCAGCGACGCTTCTTCTATGGTACCGGCGCCTTCCAGACCCAAAAGTCGCAACGAAATGGCGACGAGCAGGTATGTCGACTTTATTTTACATTTCTTGACGACCTAGTTCAAATTTATTTGATAAATGACATTGCCTAGCTTCTGACTGAAGTATATACAATGCCAAATTAATTATATAATATCCTAATTTATTTTTTTTAGCCTTCCGTTACTTTAGTCACGGGTTGGCTGTGGTCGGATGTTTTCGTTAGATTTTGGCGGTTATTTTACCGTTTGTTATTGGTGACTGTCACGTAACACCTATTTTGTTTTTTTGTTTGAATATTTTCTGTGATTATAATAAATATATAAAATTAAATTAATATAATTATTATTAATATATTTATTAAAATCGATTATAGGACGATACAAGGACATGACGCTATGTCCTATAGCCGTTTAATAAATAATAAATAATTAATAACTCTCACAAAAAAGTGGTTAACTATATAGTTCGTCTTAAAGGTATAATAAAATAGAAATATGTTTCCCAAACAAGAGTTAATACTTGCTTGAAAAAGCTTCAGTCAATAGAGGAAAGTATGGGCTCTCGTGAAGTAAATTATAGCAACATATTATTTTTTAAATACAATAGTTTTACCTAATTATGAAAATTAACATAAGTCTATTATTTATGTACATTTCATTCTAGTTAAATAATGGACAATAAATCTTTGAAAGTTAGTATTGTTCCTCTTTTAAAGGTATTCAAATTTGTCATACTGGAAAGCGCGACGTATACTGTTCTACAAAAATGGCGACCCATTCTTTCCTGGGGTCGAGTTTCGTTTCAAGCCGGGACGCGACATTGTCAATCTTGAGTCCCTATTGGACAAGCTCTCCCTCAGGATGGATCTACCGAGGGGTGCCAGATACGTATTTTCCATGGACGGCGACCGAAAATATAGACTGGATGAGTTAGAGGACGGGGCTTCATATGTAGTGTCTTCATACAAAACTTTTAAGGTAAACGATTCTCATGCTATTTAGTATCATTAACACATCACTTTCGCTAAATCAGTTTGTAATGAAATAAGCGAAAGACTATTATTTTGCCTTCCCTCAGAATAAAATAGGTATAGGAATTTTACAAAAATAGTTCCTATTTACTCTCAAAGTTAAATAATATTTCGAACCAAATTATAAATAATTCAATAAAACTAATTGCTTTGATATTTTCAAAAATTTACTTTTTGATGTGATGAAATCTAAAAGCAAATTATAAATTACGCTACTGTCTAAACGATTGAAATCATGACTGAATCTTATAAAAATGTATTTTTTTGAAACAGAAATCATATAGAAATAGTACCTGAAAATGCGACGTTAAATGGGAATGTATTTTACAAGTCTATCAATCACCCTCTGGATCCATGTCATTTAAAACATAAAGAAACGTAAAAAACGTGCGATAAAATACTTATGACAAACATTACACTTGTCAAATGTCGAAGTTTCAAAAATGTTTTCATATGGAATTCACTACTTTTTATTTAACATCAACTTATTATTTATGAAACTTCTGGAAACAGGACTATTGAACTGAAACAGCATGATTGAACTAAAACAGTTTACGTAAATACTATTGCAATAGCCTGTGGAAGTTTCTTTGAAAAAATTTATATCAACTTGATAACATAAACTACTAATTTTTCAATATATCAACATGATCATCGCTCAAGTTTGTGGGCTCTGACGATTTCTTAAAAATTGTTTTTGCTTTGAAAACAAAATTAATTATTGTATTCTTTTTCATAAAATTTTGAAGTGCAAATTTAACCAACCACTTAATCGTGTAGATATTAGAAAATTGCAATATACCTATCGCCGTATGTGCGCGTGAAGTACAATCAATATTTCCGGTCATAAAAATATGAGTGTCGTCCTAATGAATAAACGAACCAAGCCACTCCCCCTTGGGTAAACAAAACAACCCTTGGCAACCAATGACATTATTTAGTTGTAATCTGTCTATGAGCCTATGAAATCGTCGGATCACGAAACGAAACGTCGCCATAGCAATCGATGCTTTATATAAAACTAAACACAGAATTTTCCCAATTATTAGTTAAACAAATATATAAAATCAAATATTATATAATTTTTTTCTAAACTAGATTTGTTGTATCGTAAATGCCGTGGAAATATATCTGGAACAGGGAAATAGCGATTACGTTGCTAATACAAGTTAATTAATCCTCAAGAAGGTTTTTTTTGTTTTTCAAACAACCTTTTCTTATTATTTTAATTTTTGAAATGCTTTTGAAGTTTATTTTAATACATAATTTCTGTTTGGTGTAGGTGCGGGTTTCCTTATCTCATGTTTTTACTTTAGTTGTTATCAAATTGAAATATTAAATTCACACAATCGTGCAGTGCCTAATGGGGGGGGGTCCCTTTGACAGCCGTGTCAATTTTAAAAATCAAGTGGAGCAAAAACATTTGTTGCATTATTCCTAAATATAAAAATACAAGTAAACCGCTTTTGTTTAAAATGAAATTGCCAATTCTAAAGTTATTTTTACTTCTTCTTGTTCTGATCTGAGACCTTATTCTTTCCAAATATTGGCAACTTGGTTTATGGTACAACTTCATGATTATTTTAAATAATCAGCAGTTTTTGATAATAATAACGACAATTTTCACGCAATGATACTTTCCTTGCTATTGGCTTATTAAATACGTTTATTTAAAAAACGCTTTAGCAGCCGGTCTGAAGTCGAAGTTGTCTTCTAATTTGTAATGTGCTTAATAAACGAATGACTGAAGTAGTTTATCAACACTTGTTTTAGGACCTTTAGTTTTTGTGATATGTGACGTAATTAACAGAGTAGACAAACGCCAAAATGCCATCCGTTGCTAAAATTCACGGAAACCATCGGATCGCACCTAGATTTGCTCCCGAAGTGGCATGTCACTGTAGGTAACGAAGCTAATGTGTTAAAGTGATACTTTACACATGCTCGATTCATTCATTCATTCACCTCTCCGAATATGGGAGTGTAGTGAAGGAACAAGGAACAATCGACGGAAAGCGAAGCATCTACAGAAAATACTGGTCTAGAAATATCTGCACAAAGGAGAAACAAAGAGTGCTCGAAGGAAGTCAGCATTTTTCGAACTAGAATCAGCTACAGCTAGGAACAGCTCAAAGAAGTATGGCGGCTTTTTGTCCTTAATGTGAACCACTGAACAAATGAGATCTTAGACTTTCAGGATCCAAATCTGCCATTTTAAAATTACGTCCATTTCATGTAAGCCGAAGAGCTTTTAAAAAACTTGGTTTCCTTATGCTTCAAGGAGGTAATAGGAAATAGAGAAAAATTCATTTGATGCTCAGTGTAACATCCCGACAAGATAAATTTGATCAGATTTTTTTGATAAATAACCAAATAATATTAAACTGACAGGAAGCTTAAACATTTTTAGAAAAGTACGAAAAAAACCTCATAGACATAGAATCCTACAAAGCGCAGGAGTTGATTGACCCCAAATTTTAGAACTTTGGACCGATCATATGCACAGGCGTAGACAGAACATACTTTATTTACCGAATCCAAAACCATTAAGACTTTGCCATTTTGACCACCAACCTCATCAGAAACGGCACCTAGGAGCAGGAGGAGGTTTGGGGTTATCAGACATTTCCCTAAAATCTCCAGTACTTCATCTTTCGACTTCCTGAAGACATTTGATAATTTCTCGGGATTGTTTTGGAGATTAATCGCTGGGAGAAACGAGTCGGAGTTTTGAATGGTATAGACAAAGTGGACATTTGTTTTTTCCGTAACGTGTTGGTATCATTCAATTAGCAATAACTGGAAGTAAGCGTTTACTGCTTTATAACTACCCTACTAAAATACGAAGTTGTAAATACATAAAGCACTAAAGTGCTTTAAACGGCCATAGCGGGTAAGGCAAACAAATAGCCCGTTGAAAGTAATTTACTGTCCGGGATCGTTTTCGCATTACCTCTGGCAATTATGCAAATAGGTCGTTGTTTTTAAAATATCATAAGCTCGGGATTTAGTGGGGTGCGTGAGCGACTTTATCCCGGTTAGGTCTGTCACGTGCTTTATGCTACTATACGTATACATTTGTTTTACTTTTTATTTATCACCCGGTTAAATCTGTTACGCGAGAGGGTCAAATATAGGTTAGTTAGTCAGATACGGAGTTAACGCCAAAAGCTCATTCATAATGTTGGCCAGTTTGTTCTAAATTTAAAACCGTCTAGATTCAGTTCTTATGCTATTTAGGGCGTCACATCGTTAGGTAATTTACTGACAATTTGCTAGACACAATAATTAGGATTTTGGTATTTGACAATTCGATAAGACCGCTGGCGGAAAAATTGGTAAACTATTTCAGCAGCAAATGTTGCATAGCATCGTTCGCGATTCAATGCCTTTATGGATTCAGCAGAGAGTTCAACATTAAAGGAAACATTACTAAGTGCCTCTGATGTAATAATTTTATCTTATATATATATATATATATATATATATATATATATATATATATATATATATATATATATATATATATTTACCTAGCACACTTTAGAACTGCAGCAATAAATTTACAATTTCCCGACAAACCAGTTTTAGACCTTCAACACGATGTACGTATACTTGACCCTCTATAATATTTAATTGACCCTTAATTTTGCTAATTTGGAGGTAAAATGCAAAAACGTCCCTTGAGTTATCGGCCTCGGCAGTAGACTTACTTGAAATTACATGTTTTGTATTTAATAATGCTTTTCCTTCTACAAAATACCGACTTTTCACTTTACAATTTAAATACTATGAAATGGATTTTATTGTTGGAGTTTGTTCTTGCTATTTTCCATAAACAACAGACCATACCAGAAAAATTATTAACAGAGCAGATAAAATCGGCCAATTGTAACAGGTATGGTTTATTCATAAATATAAGAAAGTGACCAATTGCTTTTGAATGGCATTATCCAAGGGTGGTCATTAACATACAATGCGACAAGATTATTACCTAAAGTATCGGAATTTAAATTCAGGTAAAATTGTGGTCCGTAATAGAAAATAATTTTATACCTACCTGTGTTTAACATTCTTTGGTTTGGTATACTACTTAATTTAAGTTTATTAGTAATCATTCTTATTTCTTGTGTAATACGGCGTGTGTTGAATCGTGTGCGAATTATGCAAAATATGTGCGAGTCTAGTGTATCTCAGGAGATGCTCCCGCCCAAATGTAGAAAACACTATTCTATTGAGACTAAGGAAGTTATAAACAATGTTTATTTGACTCTCATTGAACGTGGTGCCAGCAAGCAAGCAGCAAACTAGTTCCAAACATTCCTCCTAATAGCGTCATTGTAATGGACAATGCAAGTTATCACAGTAGACAGTTGACTAAAACTCCTTCCTCATGTGACACAAAAGCAACAATCCAAAACCACATGTAAAATAACGACATTTATTTTCACAAAGTTGGGCAAATTCTGTTAAACATATAGAAAAGGCAGAACAATCGTATATTCATATTGCAAATAATATAGAACAAATAATAATTAGAACAGGCGATGATAGCGATAGTGACACTGATATATTATGTGAATAATAATAATAAGTAATTTAAGTAGGTAAGAAAAATAATTTGTAATTTTATTTTAGATTTAAACATAAATACATACATAAATAAATAAATATTGTTTAGTATCTTTCCTAACAAAACCCTAAATAATTAAATTCTAAGCAAAGTACGGACCTGTTCGGCCATATTTCATTCTTACAGCTTAATTCGTATCAGTTAGTCACTTTCTTATATCTATGAACAGACTGTAAACATTAGGAGATACCTCCAAACGGCCACATTTGTTTATGGACAGCATCGGAGAATAATTTCGCTAGTTTGCAGGGTGGTAAATTGTAAACAAGAGGACATATTCATCAGATATTCTACAAATTAGTGTGTAACATGTT